CCAATCATCAATCGACCTGGCAACGCCCCCTATCGGTTCAGATCATTCAACAATCCAAACCTCTCAAAATAATATTCCACAAACGAATAGGATCACCAATGAAGAACCTCTACTCTCAAAAACACTTCCAATATCCAACATAGATATCAATCATAAAACCATGGAAGCAAATATTCTCGAACAACACATTAAATCACCACACCAAACCACAATTAATACCGAACAAATATTTCAAACCGAACAGACTGGTACTCAATATAAAAGAGCTATATCTGACACTTCATCTTAAATGTCTCCACCAACGACCCAATTCCCAAATGCAACACAGTAACCACAATCAAAAACAAAGAAGCCCAAAGTAAGATCACTGTCAAATTCTACAACAATTAATGACGACGACACCCCCGATGATCCACTCAATCCGGCCCAAACCTTATTCTCTGACGATAAATCTTGGCCAATAACTTATGCACAGTTTAAGTACATGATTGAAATCTCCAAAAATAAATCCGTGAATATACCCTCCTTATGTAAAGAAGCAAACATTAAAATATGTATGTTAATGGCACTAATCGAAAAAACCTACCCCATGATTACAAACTCCAAAATGAAAACTAAATTGTCTAAATTTCGTAACTTATTATTCCAAATAATGCCTGACGAAACAACAGACGAAACCCAATACTAAAAAAAAAAAAATATAAGATCTACAATGAACATAAACATTATACAGTGGAACATAAACGGTCTTGTAAAAAAACTAAATGATATTAAACTAATAATCCAACATCATGACAATCATTTTATGTTTACAAGAAACCAATCTCAATAATACTTATATCCCGTCCATCAAAAACTTCAACGTTTACACCACCAATAGAACAGCTTACAACCGAGCTAGTGGAGGAGTAGCAATACTGGCTAGATCCGATTACCCAAGCTCTCATATCCCGATCCAGTCTTCACTGGAAGTGGTAGCAATATCCTTACAACTCGAGTGCAGCATTACGATCTGCAACATAAATATCCCCAACCAAAAACAATTCAAATCTTCTGACATTGAGAACACAATACAACAACTCCCAACTCCCTTTCTTATCTTGGGAGATTTCAACAGTCATAGCATATGTTGGGGATCGGACAAAACCGATGACCGGGGTAAACAGATAGAAAAAATTCTTGAGGTAGACAATATTATTCTACTCAATAGTAGTGAACCTCTCACCTCAATCCAACGAATGGAAAATTTTCTTCAATTGACTTATCAATATGCAGTGCCAACCTAGCCCAACGTACTACATGGTCAACCCTTCCTGAAATATATGACAGCGATCACATTCCAATCATGATCAAGTTACTCTCTAGTAAAGCAATTCCATCTATATTACCTAATAGATGGAAGCTAAAAAATCTCAACTGGAACCTCTTCTTACAACTAGTTGATGTCCATGTAAACACAAACCTTCCCCCACTAAACGGCCCGATTGAAAATGACGTTGCCCATATAACCAATTCCATTATCAGCGCAGCAAACCTAGCAATCGGTAAAACAAACGGTACACCAAATAATCGTAACGTTCCATGGTGGAACCCCGAAATTAAGCAATCTATAAAGGAAAAAAAATATCGCATTAAAACGGTTCCAAAAAACGGGCAAAATTGAGGACTACATACGTCTAAAAGAACTTCGTGCAAAAACAAAGTATCTCGTAAAACGAAGCAAATCTACCTCATGGAAGACTTTCACTTTAACTATAGGTCCTAAAAGTGATCCCAGTTCTGTATGGAGCAAAATTAGATCCTTACGTGGCAACAACAAAGAAAAACAGACCTTCATAATAAATGACAACACTCTCCACATTGATGCAATCATGGTTGCTAACCTTCTTGGTAACCATTTCTTCTCAAACAGCTCTGACAATAACTATCATGAATCATTCCTAAATAAGAACCTTTTTAGTAGACACCGTCAGCTTCAATCAAACATCAGTCCGTAAAATCTGGATCAACACCTCTTAAATTAAATTTGCCGATTAGCTTAAAAGAGCTAAGCTGGGCTTTATCCAAATTTTCTAGTCTCTCCCCTGGCCCCGACGATATTCCTTATAGTTTCCTACACAACATACCCTCATCAGCAACTCACTTTATACTTCATCTTTTCAACAAAATTTGGAATACCGGACAAATCCCAAACTCTTGGAAACAAGCCATCGTCATCCCGATTTTAAAACCAGGCAAGGACAAATTATGTACAGAGAGATATAGACCAAAATCTCTCCTAAACACAATGTGCAAAGCACTTGAAAAAATCATTGATTTTCGACTGAGATGGTTTCTCGAAAAAACTTGTTATCTTTCCCCCCAACAAAACGGCTTTCGCAAAAACAGGAGCATATACAACAACATACATAATATACAAAAAGACATAATAAAATCCCAAGAAACTAACCAAGCCATGGGACTTGTCGCTCTTGACATAGCAAAAGCATATGACACCACATGGCGCCCCCGGATAATCGAACAACTACAAAAAATCCTATGCAACGGCAATCTACTTATCTTCATCAAAAATTTCCTTGAAGATAGATTTTTCAAAGTTAAAATTAATGGTCATCTTTCTTCAACCTTCAACCAAGAAAATTGTGTACCCCAAGGCTCCACACTTTCAGTCACCTTATTCCTAGTAGCTATCAACTACATAAGCGAAAGAATCAAATTCCCTGTTAAATCTTCCCTATTTGCTGATGACCTGAACATTTGGTGTTCCGGAAAAAATACACAAAACATACAACCATATCTACAAGATACATTATTATCACTTGCCGCATGGTCCGAGATATCAGGAAACCGTTTCTCCTCATTTAAATCACAGAGCATCATATTCACTCGAACCACAAAATACCCTTCACTAGATGTTAGAATTTACAACACTCAAATACAAACCTCAAGATCAATTAAAATATTAGGAATCACATTTGACCGTAAAAATACTTGGAACTCACACCTCAAAGACCTCCGAAAAGTAACCATGTTAAGAATGAATATTCTCGAAACTCTCACTCACACTTCTTGGGGAGCAAATTCTATAACCCTCAAACAAATATACACATCATACTATCCAAACTTGAATACGGTTCTTTTATCTTTTCTAATTCCAAACAATCTAGTCTAAAAATGATTGACACAGTACACAACCTAGGACTGAGATTAACCCTTGGAGCATTCCGATCGAGCCCTATCCCCTGTCTACTCAACTTATCTTACACTCCACCTTTAAGCATAATAAGAAAAATAAATATAATGCTCCTATCTGTAAGACGAGCCCAGAACAACCTTGACATTCACCATGGCATCAGAACTGAACTTCAAGACTCTAATTTTAAATACTTTGATATTATCACCCACGAATGTCCAATTAATCTACCTTGGACTATGTACATTGACATTAATCTCAAGTTATCATCATTACCCAAGAGTGAAACTACGCCAAACACATACAAAAACGATCTACAGTCAATCCTCGAAGGATATCTAGAGCACACTCTTTTTTACACGGATGGATCCAAAACGGAAGCAGGCGTAGGCGCTGCAGTTATATATAATGAAACCAAACGAATGATCAAGCTCCCAGACTATTGTTCAATCTACACGGCTGAAGCCTTAGCTATCTCTTATACATTAGATATCATAAAAAGACACAATAAACAACTCCGTCATACTCACTGATTCCCTTTGCACACTCATAAACATCAAGAACTATCTTCGTCCTAACAGCATATCCCAAAAAAATCCAGAATCAGATTTCCTATCTTCTATCTAATGAAGTCACATTACATATCACATTAATATGGGTACCCAGTCATATCGGCATCCCTGGAAATGAGTTAGCCGACACATATGACAAACAATCCATTTCATCACCACACTCTCTAGTCCTCGGCTCACACACATTACATGACGTAAAATACTACATCACCAAATACATCCTTAAAAATTGGCAACACACCTGGTCAACTCTACACACTAAGCTGAATGAAATCAAACCCAGTATTCTTCCATGGCCAACCCTTCCACTTTCCAGACGTCACGAAGTAATTCTCAATAGAATTAGAATAGGTTACACTTGGTCTACCCATAAACATCTAATGACCGGAACAAACCAAGAACCATGTCTCTCATGCGGTGAAACTCCAACAATCAAACACATCATATGCTTCTGTCGTGAATACAACGACATTAGAGCCAACCTCAAACTAGCTGACAACCTTCATGAAGCACTTGGCCCTGATCCGGACAACATTGCAAAATTATTTATGTTCTTAAAACTGTCCAAATTATACAATTTAATTTAAGCTATTATACACTGTATAACCCTCTTCTTTCACACTTTGTATATGAATAAAATTTCAGCCAATAATCTATGTTGTTGTGGTTTAATATCAAATAAAAAAAAAAAAATATAGAGAGCATAACACTCGCAAAAATTTGAGAGTGAATACAAATGAAGACCTTATGCATGTTCTATTCGTATCAAATCCTTACATATTTTCTCTAAGAAATTGTCGTTAAAAAAAAAAATCGTCATTATCTGCAGAAATTATGTCGTTATTAGTTTTAAAAGATGATACCGAAATTAGGGATCACAATTCTTCGAGAGACAGAAACTGATACCGATAGTAATTAATATTACTCATAAACATGTATTAATTTAAACTAACATTAAAAACTTCAAAATAATATTATATTTATAATTTTTTTTATATTGTTTTCATAATAATATATCATAATATAATCAATTTTATGTTACTATTATTTTTGGCCACCTAAATTATATTCTATCCCACTGTGCGGCGGTAGGGTTTGTGGGATTTTTACATTTCGATATTGGTACTTTTGATTTTTTAGTTATCTCATGTTATTATCACGGGTTGTTATCTCGGGGGAACAACTACCTGATGCCACATGACAGCATATACACAGGATAAAATATAATTTATTTTGTTATACACATTATGATAACAAGATAAAAATTGAAGTCAGAATTACAATTGTTTGTAATTTAGTGAGCTTCCAAAATATCTTAAAAGTATAGACGAACAACGTACAGTTCGAATGCCAGCCTACATGTGATTAAATAATTCCGTTGTAATTATTTTCTTTTTAAGTCTACAACTTGTTGCATCATGAGATAATTTAAATTGAATTTGATGTGAAGAATTTTTTCTACAATGGAAGTCGACACAATTGATAAATTAACCAGTCATTGTATGGGTTATTTTTGACTATCATAACTAATTATCTTTTATTTTTTTGAAACAATTTTAAACCATAAATTTATTATCTTAAAGTTACTAAATATTATATATTTGCAAGTTATTTTTATTTGAATGAATAATTTATGCTATTGGTTACGTTTTAAAATGATTGTATATTAAATGCTTGTGATTTAGAAATATTGCTTTCAATCAGTCTAATTCTAAAATTAAAATATCAATCAAATTGAATTCGTAATTAATGTATCATTACTTAGTTAAATTTGTACATTGATCTGTAAACTTAGTACCAGAGAATACTAAGAAATCATATAAAATATTTTCAATGTTTTATCATTTAAATCAAATAATTTTTGTATAATATACATATTTATAATATTAAATTTCATTTTAGCTGTTTATGATTATGATGGTAATGAAAAAACACCACTTTATGCTAAAAATGACAATGACAAAACTGTACTTAAATTAATTATTGGTTTTTGTATGGTATTTTGTATTGGATTATTAATTATTTTGTTGATTCATATTCATTATGGACCACATCAGGTATGTAAAATTATAATAGAAATTAATAAAATTAAAATAATTTTAACTTTAAAGTTAGTACCTCATGGGAATGTAGCCAGTGATGATGCTCAATGTTCCAAGTATGGAACTGATATGCTTAAAATAGGTGGTAACGCAGTTGATGCAGCAATTACAACTGCATTGTGTAATTCTGTAGTATTACCTCATCTTTCTGGACTAGGAGGGTAAAAATAATAGAATAGAATACACATATAATATTTGAAACAAATTATATTTTCTTTTTAGAAACGGTGTTATGATAATTTATGACCACCGAACTGGAATAGGAAAGACTATTGATTTTGGTGCTGCATACAGTTTGAATTCAAGTATTGGAGTCCCAGGTTTTTTGATTGGATTATATTATGCTAATATGAAATATGGAATTCTTCCGTGGAAAACTCTAGTGGAACCTTCCATTAATCTTGCAAAGTAAATAATCTTATTGAGCTATACATTTATTATATATTTTATCTTTTTATTATTAATAAATTATAGTACATTATTTTTAGAACTGGCATAATAGTTACAAAAAGCTTACGTGATTCAATTATTGAACTGAGTACCACAAAATTAATTAAAGATAAAAACCTAAAAGATTGGTCAGATACAGTACTAAATGTTTCACGTGATCAAGTAATTGCTGTTCCAAATGGCCTTATTGATACTCTTACTTTAATATATCGACATGGACCTATTGGTAAAGTATAATAAAATTACAGTACATTGACAAGAATTTTTGTTTCTTACATATATATATATGTATTATGTATATATAGTATTATATTTAACTTCTTATTGAAATATAAATCATTTGAATAACTTTTTTTTGTAGAATTTTATAAAGAAATGTCTAAAGAGTTGGAATTATATTTAAAGCCAGATGATGTTACTGGCTATCAACCATTTATATTACCAATGTTAAAACAAAACATTATGAATTATAGTATTTTAACTTCTAATAAAGGTACTGGAGGACCAATATTAATAGACATACTAAGTAAAATTAATAACACAAATAATATGGATACTGTATCATTATTAAATGGAATTAAAAGTAGGCAATTTTGAATTTAATTTTAAAATTATTATATAAAATATAACAGCAATATTATCTCTGTATAAAAAATGGAATTTCATTTTGTAAAAATAAAGTATATGAAAAAAATTAATTGTATATATAAATCGGTTAACATGATGTATCTGTTGAAAAAATTAACATATGATACTGACTATTGATATTACTTAATTAACATAGTTTAGTGTAACATTTTAGATGAGGCTCATATTTTTATTGATTCATTTTATTCTTATATGTATTATTAATATTTTAATTAAAATACTATTTTTAAAATATTTCAAATTTGTGAACAATTTTAAAACGTGTATTGAAATTATGTTATATGCGGCTTACTGTTTGCACCGTCTAGCATGTCTTTTGCAATTTCAAGACGAAGTTGTTTTTACTCCATTGTCAGCAACTTTGGAACAAATTTTGCGCACACTCTTCTCATTTTCAAATTTTTGGTTAAAATCAAATGTATTGACCCAATGCTGACTCCAATTTCTTATGCTAGTTCTCGGACTGTAAGACGACGGTCCTCGGTGACTAAAGTTTGCATTTGTTTAATAACATTCTCATTCCGACTTAGCTTGTTGATGGCCTGCCTGAACACGATTCACTTTCTACTGATATTTGACCATTTTAGAATCAATTGTATCACTCTTTTATTCGAGTACTGCTCATGGCAGACTCCCCAAAAGCTTGTTGAATCTTGCGAATTGTTTTCATTGGTTTTTGCCAAAATTTAATGCAGTAATGCTGCTCAAGTTTTTCTGTCATTTTATAACTTGATAAAAACTACAGAGCACAAAAAAGAAGTCTATACTACTAGACTGACGGCCGGCGACTGAAACTTTATCATGACATTAAACAGTGCATGCGTGCGTATGACAGTCCTCTCCACTTCCTCACTAAGTTTGGTCGCCAGCATTTCATTTGTTTACGTGGGAGGACAGAAAGTCCAATACTTTTTGAACAACTCTCCTACATTTGTAAGAATATTTATTTATCATATCTATTTATTTGAGTTTAATATCAGAATAGTTATTTTAGTGATTAGTTAGTAGTACACACTACTGTTTAAAAATTTAATTTTTTTTATATAACTACAAATTTAAAAATTTGCTAGCCTTTATTTAGATCATAGAATTTCATATATAAATTATGAATAATAATTAAAATTTTTGAAATGCTGAAATTCCATTATTTTCGTATAATTTAAAGCTATTCATGAATTAATTGGGTGATGTTTTTGTGTTGGTCCAATGGCGTATTTACGGGGGGGGGGGGTCCAGGGGTACTGTACCCCCCCCAGAACATCTACAAAAAATAAAAAATAAACTAAAATTCTTACATATTCGCAGAATTGGCTATGTTAAACATTCACAGGGAAGTTGAAATTACTATTGATGAAGTGATAGAGTTTGCCAAAAAATCGAGACAACTAGAATTTATTTTATAACAATACTTTATAATATATAATTTTAAATACAATATATAGGTATATATATAATATTACATAAGACTATACGATTATTACATTATATATTTAGTTCAACTTCCTCCAAAAACTGTATAAGGATGTAACTATTACAATATAATATATAGTTTATATTAGTTATGTATAAACTGTGGAGCCCCCCCAGAAAAAATTGAAAATACGTCACTGTGTTGATCATATTTTTAACATGATATTATTGCTGTGATATTTTCTTTTTTATTTTAATTATTATTTAATACAATTTATTATTTTTTTTAAAGATTTAAGTGTTGATTGGTCAGCTGAAAATGCAGGGTTACAAGTTTCTACTACAGATGTATTTGATCTTTATGTAACTATCATTAGGTATATTTCTTATTAGTTCTAATTTTATTTTATGATAGTAACTTATAATAATTTAATTTATCTTCTACATTTTTTTTTTTTTTTTAGTGGTCTTGGTTCTGTTTTTGGATCCCGTATTTTAACTAAATCTGGTTACATACTAAACAATGCTTTGGATCTAAACTATAAGCATCAATATATAAACCAAACTGCAAGAATACCTTCTTTACATTTACCTTTTATAGCTGTAGAAACGGGAAAAATATGTGGAAGAAGATTAATATCTGGTTCTGCTGATGTACGTGATGGTGTTGAAATACTTTTATCCATGTTGAAAACAGATCCACAAGACATTTTTAATGTTAATAATATTCCACGTTTTCGTTTAAACTATAGTGATATCAAAATAGAATATCCAAATAAGTTTCCCAACAAAATTAAAGAATTGTTTGTAAAATCTGGATATCATATATCTGAAGCACCTTTGCCTTATCCTACTTCTAATGTTGTACAAAAAGTAGGAGATATATCTATTGCTTTTTCAGATATTCGTGGATCTGGAAAGTCAATAACTATATGATAATTTATTATTAATATTACCATATCTTAAGTCTAAAATATGAGGTGCTCTAGTAGGTAAAAAACTAAATAAATTATCATTAATATTATTATTATCAATAAAAAATGTACAAGAAAAATTATTTAAGAATACTACGTACATAGTTTAACTACTAATTATGCCACTATTAAATGTTACTATTATTATATTTTTTTATCTATTTAATTTTTTTTTTTTAATATATTTTTTTATAACTTATTTGTTAAATTATATTTTATAATTCAGTATAAATATTTTTTTATACTTACAAAATCTTTGTAAATTTTATTTACTTTTTATACTGGTCATGATTTATTTGTTTTATGTTCATATAACTAAAATTGGAAAGTTTGTCACTTATTTATATTACTTATATCAGGGCCGTCTCTAGATATGATCGACATATTTGATGGCACAGGGTGCCAACATCAGAAGGGCGCGTGAAAGACGTCAAAATTATAATTAAATTTGATCAATCGTTGGTGACACTTATCTTCTATAAATAAAAAATTAAAAAAAAATTTTGATGTGCTTCAATATAAATTTGATTACTATTATAATTATCATTATTTATTATTTTATTGACACGTAAGGATAGGCCGCTCTTATAGGTACAATTACAGTTTTATAAACTATGATTATACTATTACAAGTATTATTATGTTTGTTCTCTGAATGATTAACAAATATGTGGAAAATATTCATGTTTGAAAAATTATTTTGGTCATTTATGATTATGAACGAGACTTAGGTAAAATATGAATAATGAGGCCACCCTTCCAGCTACCAAGATTCTGGCTATTTAAGTTATATGTTTAAGTTGTTTGAGATAGAGGATTGCCTGGGATTCTTGCACTGAGCACTGAAAGAGCTAAAGCCAGCCCTAACTTATATATTCAACTATCTGCCTTCAACACAAGAATCAGCTTATAGAAGGTAGATAAATTATGTAATTTTGTCTTTTTTGTAATATGTAAATATTGATATATATGTATAATTTAAATAAAAAAAAAATCTAGTATAACTTAAAAAGTATGACTGATAAAATAAACAGTTTAAATCAAACTGGAACCAATGTTTTATAATGTACAACATCATTTTTATACTCAACAAATATTTATTTTCCTATTGAAAAGTACTTCTAATATATTAAAAGTATTTTTACTTTTAGAATTTTTAAATACAGTGAAACCTCTAAATACTGGACACCCTTGGTTGCTGAAATTTTGTCTGCTGTTTTGAGGTGTCTGATATTTAGAGGGAGAAATATAATATTAGAAAAATAATAAATTGAAAATATAATTAAAAAATGTATTTATTTATTTAAAATTATTTATAAATAAATATTGGTATACAATAAATTTAATTTATTTTAATTATTTTATGTATTTTTAAAAATTCACAAGTAAAAAGATAAAAAAATTGATAATATAAAAATCAAAACTAACATATATTAAAAAAAATCAGTTACTTTAGAATGTTTCGTATTTTGATGCGGTTGTTTCGTAGGTTAATGCATTTTCTAATTCCACTATGCTAAAGAATAATGAAGTACATTTCTGTATTTCGATAGAAAAAATATATTTACATACATATTGTATTTACCCTTCACTGCTGCTAATGCCTCCTGTATACTTCCAACATCAATGTCATTAAATTTCCATGGCTCGATGGATAAGATAAGATGTAACAGTTTAATTATGTATAAAGCATAATGAGTAATATTAATAAAATACAATTTGCGAGTGTAGATTTTTATCTAGACATTCCAGAATTATTTTTCTAAATTTATGATTTAAATATCAAAAGATAAAATTTCATTAGTATCCCATATTTAGAGGTTTTCCTACAAAAAAGTAATGAAAATGTCCCCATTCCCCAAAAAATGTCCACTATTTAGAGGTGTCTATTAAGGGAAGTTTCACTGTAATAGGATTTTTAATAATTATTTATTTATTTGGTAAGTAATTTAATAATAATAATTAAACATTCTTTTATTATTATTATATTTATTTATATGTTCTAGTTATTAAAAAATTGTTTGGTACTCAATTTATATATAAAGCTCTGATTGTTAATTAAGATAAATAAATAATAGTTCAGTCCAATTTAATGCAATGAAAACTGTATGGAATTTATAAAGCCTAAAAAATACTTGATAAAGTAAAGTTAATGCTTTATCTAGAATGATATAATTTAAAATATATATTCATTTAAGAAAATCTTTCAGTATTGTTATTATTTTTAAATATTTTTACTTTTTATTAGGAAAATAAAAAAGGGAGAGTAATGTTGAAACATACAATTTAGTATTTTTAATTTATATTATATATATCATTATAATTTATATGTTCAATTAATTTTTCTAAAACCTTACACAAAACAATTGTTATGATTTTTAAAAATAAAATAAGTAGATATTCAATAAGAGTAATAATTTTATTTAAACTAAAAGTCATACCAATTTTAAATTTAATATGCGAGCATTTTTAATAATTTATTCATTAAAAAAATATTTTACCACTTTTATGAATTTATTTTATTGTATTTTTTAATACATAAATGATTATTTATAAAAGTAACAAATATTGATTAAAAGAAGAAAGTTATATTTTCAAGTATGGTATTAGCATAGAATAATAGAACTTTGGTAATAACAATTCTTTTTATCGTGTGATATTAGACCAAAGAGTAATAAGATTAGTTGATATCACGAATTTAGATATATTAATTCGTAGTTGATATCATAGAGTAATATTTTATAGGAACTTTTATTTTACAATAATTTATTACTCTATGGTTGATATCAGGATTTCATATTCATTATCAATTATTTATCTTTAAAATGTCCCAAAATGATTGATGTTATATACGTTTGTTTGACTGATAGCAGAATGGTTTTGTTCTCCACTTAATAACATGTTACGCAGTTCATTGTATTGACAATAAGAAACGAAAAAAACACCGAGTTTTGTGGGAAAGTTTAACAAATTTCGAGCTGTAAAATTTCTTAAACCTTGCTAACATTTATATTTATTGTTTTTCTGAACATAGTTTATATATTTGTCAGTCGACTAAAAATGCCAAATAAGATATTGATGAAAAAAGACAAGGTAAATGATTCCTTAACTTGTATTAATTTGGGCCTACGTTTTTCGTAGTCTATTTCATTTTTATTATGTGATTTTTCACTTATAATTTTCTACAGCTTTCGATTAAATGTATTAATTTATTTATATATATATATATATATATATATGTTTTTATACTTTTTAGAGTACATTTAATTTTACATTTAATTGTCTTGTATGTTTTATGATAAGAAAGGAACTATTGTTTAAAAGCATTATTTATTTTAATTTAAAAAAAAAAAACTGACATTATTTTATTGTTTGAAGAAAGTTTTGAAATAAATTAATATATATGTATATTTAAATACTAACTATGTTTATGATAAATTGCCTGTTTAATTTACCTATGCAATGAACTATACTATAACAGTAATATCTTATTAAAACTATCAATATATGTATTCAACCTTAAGTAAAAATTTTACATTACAATAGTATTGAGTACACAATAGTGTTTAAAATACTATAATATATTGAGTAAACCTAGGTATATTATTTTTTTATTTATGGTTAAATGTATTGTTTTTTTCTTGTTTAAATATATGTAAATATGTTGAAATATTTAAAATGCATAAAAGTATTTATTTTATTTTGTTTGATATATGTGTTTGTTATCTTCAGGATGTTTCCAAGTCTAAAAGTGGATCGGGAGTAGAAATACCTGGGGATGATGTAAGTTTTTGTTGTTATTTGATATTTTATTAATTATTAATTCTAATTAAATAAAATATATAAAGTCTAATTTATCTTTTTAAAATCTTTTTAGAAATAAAAATAAAATAATGTTGTATAAAAGAGCTTAATATTTTTTTTTTTTTTTATTGTTACAAATTTTAATTATGTACTAATCTAATGTCTAATATTTATTTTAATATTTATTTATTATAAATAAAAATATTAAAAAAAATTGAATAATATAATTTTTTATTAAATTTTATTAGGTGCTTACGTCTTTCAAATTATATTTATTTTTTTTTGTACCTATATACATTTTTTTTATTATTTATGTATACTCAAATTTTAGCTCAAATTAGTATGTATTAAAATAAAATATTTCTTTTTAAAAAAAGATTTAAAAATCTATTGTTAAGTCACCTGGGTATACCTCTGACTATTATTGATATTAATTTTAAAATTGAGTTGATTTTAAATTAATTTGGGTTGTGTATTGTTTTATCTAAATAATTTACACTGTCTCAGTAGTTAATACCCTTATTTGTAATATAAATTATTTCTTTGCAGATATTAGTAATCTTGTCAAATTTAAATTTGATCCCACAATAAGCGCTCTAAAAAATTGAGTACATTTATTTAATATTTTCATTACATACTGTCTTCCAGATGTTATTGATCTATTTATTTATTCATGTAGGCATTCTTAAAATATGTTAATGCTTTAATATTTTAGAATATTTTGAAGTATGTATATGATGTATTAAAGAAAACCCTTTGAAAATCAGGTCAGGCTTAACAAGGTTTGACTATTATATTCCTATACTAGGGGTGGGCAAGTATTTCTATTAGAGTCTGGAAGATTAAAATAATAAATAAACAAGTTTTAGATAAAAATAAATATTTTAATATGAGACAACTGTAATTTGATTCAAATAAAATAAAATAATAATGCTAAATTAAATATTCTTTTTTTTTATAAATCATTATAAAAATAATTTAAAAATATAATTAATGCATTTAAGTAGGATTTGTTGATGGTCTGACTTTGGCTTCAAGTCTACCAGTTGCCAACCATTGGTCTGTAATGTATTTTTTTAGATATATTTTTGTATTATATTTACTAATTTGCTTATTGATGCTATAAAAACTTTGAAAATAGATTTAAATGTATTATGAAGTTAACTTGAGATTAAATCTTCCAAGTATTTTTTTTTCTCTAAGCCCACCAAAATAAATTAAAACTATTAAAAATAAAATATAAATATGCTTATTTTTTATTACATTTTATGTAAAAATTAAAACATGAAAGTTTTCAGGTCCACCCAATTTAGGTAATGTCAACGATAT